TAACCTCTCTCCATTTTTCAAAAGCATCTCCAATATTGATCCTAGTTTGAGCACGTTTCTGCTCGTGGAGCTTATTAGAAACATGCAGAGGCTTTTTAGGTCGGGTACAATCACTTCTATCTGAAACACTTCTCTTGACCGCTTCCATCACTGCAACACCTGTTGACCTGATAACTGCTCTCATATCTGACAAACTGAGGGGCGTCCAAAACGTCCGTGTGGGCTGGTCTTAAAGCGCCTACCTTCTCTGGTCCAAACAAATCCAGATCATTCAGGACCACAATCTAAAGTTAGGTAGATGGTAAACAGACTTGAGTTTTTATATTTCTGTTCTAGTCTTCAGACTACTCAAAGCTCTTTCACACTGCAGGTCACACCGACACATTCATACACTGATGGTAGAGGCCGCTGAGTAAAGAGTCCATCAGTATTAACTCATCCATTCACACACATTCACACACTGATGGTAGAGGCTGCTGAGTAAAGAGTCCATCAGTATTAACTCATCCATTCACACACATTCACACACTGATGGTAGAGGCTGCTGAGTAAAGAGTCCATCAGTATTAACTCATCCATGCATACACATTCACACACTGATGGTAGAGGCCGCTGTGTAAAAAGTCCATCAGTATTAACTCATCCATTCATACACATTCAGACACTGATGGTAGAGGCCGCTGTGTAAAGAGTCCATCAGTATTAACTCATCCATTCACACACTTATGGTAGAGGCTGCTGAGTGAGGAGTCCATCAGTTTTAACACATCCATTCATACACATTCACACACTGATGGTAGAGGCCGCTGAGTGAAGAGTCCATCAGTTTTAACACATCCATTCATACACATTCACACACTGATGGTAGAGGCCGCTGAGTGAAGAGTCCATCAGTTTTATCTCATCCATTCATACACTGATGGTAGAGGCTGCTGAGTGAAGAGTCCATCAGTATTAACTCATCCATTCATACACATTCACACACTGATGGTAGAGGCCGCTGAGTGAAGAGTCCATCAGTTTTATCTCATCCATTCATACATTGATGGTAGAGGCCGCTGAGTAAAGAGTCCATCAGTATTAACTCATCCATTCATACACTGATGGTAGAGGCTGCTGAGTAAAGAGTCCATCAGTATTAACTCATCCATTCACACACTGATGGTAGAGGCCGCTGAGTGAAGAGTCCATCAGTATTAACTCATCCATTCATACACATTCACACGCTGATGGTAGAGGCCGCTGAGTAAAGAGTCCACCAGTATCAACTCATCTATTCACACGCTGATGGTAGTAGTTTGTTATATGGATTCGACCGTTTTTCTAAAAAGTCACAAACAGTTTTAAAAAATGTCAAAAAAATTGAAAAAAGTCACAAAGTCACAAAAAAACTTGCAGAAAAGTGAAGTTGTGAGAAAAGTTAGTCTTTATATTACATACAAAGTTAAAAAAAAAAGTACGTATGTATAAAGACTAACTTTTCCATGGACTTTTTCACAGAAAATTATGCCTGCCTGAATTTTTGCCCTGGATTCTGAAATCAGAGAAAGGTTGAGAAAAGAAAAGTTAAGAAGTACTGGACTAACCTGTAAACTTCTTCATATATCGTGAGGTTATTCTTGACTGGCATGGTTGCGTGGGCAACGACCTTACTGCTGTACCCATCTATTGCGAGAACATGTGTCACTCCAAACATGACCAGTGTTTCATTCTGGTCGATGTGGCTTTTGTGTCCCATGTATGCAGCACTGTAGGGGACGGGGTTAAGGTTACGTGCACCCTTTGGGGGAAAAGTAAGTAAAAGTTAGCTAGTAAAATACATTATACAATATACCACAACATTAAAGGCTTGCAAAAGATACTAACACGTTTGCGCATTTCGTGATAGGGACAATGAGTTGTTCTCAAAATCTTCCCCACCCGGCGTTCACCAGCAACCACTCCCATTGCAGACAGGTACCCGGTCATCATCTTTCCACCATATGTTGACCCTGTCTGATGAATCAACATAAGTAAGCTGTAACATGTAGGCCTAGTCTTCATGGATTTATATTTCATGAAATATACGTAGTCTAGAAATAAATCAACAGAGGTGGGTAGAGGAGCCAAAAATTGTACTCAAGTAAGAGTATTGTTACTTCAGCATAATATGACTCAAGTAGAAGTAAAAAGTAGTCATCCAAATAATATTTGAGTTAGAGTAAAAAAGTACTTGGGGGGGGAAAAAACTACTGAAGTACTGAGCAACTGTTGAGTAACATCTGATTAATTTGTGAAGACATGCATTTATTAATACAAAATACTAATCTTCAGGTAAATTTGAGTACTTCCAATCAATAAAATAATAGAATAAATAAAAATGAAAAATAAATTGAATATTTACAAAATAACAAATTACAGCACAAGAAACACACATTTCCAAATGTGATTGTTGAAACACAGTCAGGTGGTAGAGCCTATGGCAGAAGTCCCTCTGTCTGACAAAATAAAACATTAAATT